GTTGGGAAAGAAATTTAAGAGGAGATACAAAGATTTTCCATATAGCTCCTTCCCTATATGTGCACAGCCTCCCCGCATTATCAACATCCCTTACCAGAGTGCTATGTTTGTTATAACTTCTGTAACTACACTGACATACTATAGTCAAAGTCTGCAGTTGACATTAGAGTCCACAACACACAAATTGGTGTTGTACACTCTGTGGATTTGGACAAATGTATAATAACATGTAGGCATCATCATAGTATCATGCAGAGTATTTTCACTGCCCTAAAATTCCTCTGTGTTCTACCTATTTATCTCTTCCTGTTCCCAGTCCCTGGCAACCATTGATCTTTTTACTGCACCCATAGTTTTGCCTTTTTCAGAATGTCATATAGTTGGGATCATACAATATGCAGTCTTCTGAGCCTGGCTTCTTTAATTTAGTGATATGCATTTAAGGTTCCTCTGTGTCTTTCATGTCTTGATAACTCATTTCTTTTTAGCGTGGAATAATATTCCATTGTCTGGATGTTTATTTATCCATTTACCTACTGAAGGACAATCAGTCAGTCACCCGGCCACACCGTTGGTGTTTTCTTCTGACCATGCTTTCTCATTTTTTACAATATGGATAGATTGGGAATTTTCCAGATTTTCAATTTCTGCTTCCCTTTTCCAGAACAATTCTGTCTTTAAGTAATCTCTTTTTTCACATTGTACTATAAGCAGTCAGAAGGAGCCAGGTTGCACCTTCAACATTTTGATTAGAAATATCTTCGGCTAAATACTTAATTTCATTACTTGCAAAGTTCTACCTGCCACAAAAAACTGGAGCGTGAACACAATTCAGCAAAGTTCTTTGCTGCTTTATAACAAGGATTGCCTTTCCTCCAGTTTCCAACCACATGTTCCTTATTTGCATCTGAGACCTCATCACAGTGGCCTTTCCTGTCCATATTTCTAAACACTTTGTTCAGCATTCCCTAGGTATTCTCTATGAAGATAGAGACTTTCTCTATAGCTCTCCTCTTTTCTCTCTGAGCTCTCAACGGCTCAGAATAGGCTCTTCACAGCAGTGTAGACTTTCTCTAGCATGTACCTGAGATCTCTCCCAGCCTCTACCCATTGCCTGGTTCTAAATTACTTGAACATTTTTAGGTGTTTGTTACCACTTCTCAGTACCAATTTCTTAATCCTCAGGCTGCTATTACAGAATACGGTAGTCTAGGTGGCTTAAACAACAGACATTTATTTCTCATGGTGCTCCAGGCTGGGAAATCCAGGACCCCAGCAGAGGCAGATTTGGTGTCTGGTGAGGGCCTACTTTGTGATTCGCAGATGGCCATGTTCTTGCTTCTGCTAATCTTAAAAATAAACTTGGCCATTATTTTTAAAGCGAAAATAGGTTTATTTGGGAATAACAGATAACTGCGACTCAGGACATACAAGCTATGGCAAAAGCAAAGCAAGTCCAAACAAAGAGGAGGAGGAATGTTATTTTATGGAGATGAAGGAGGAAGTTGGGAGGATTTGTTTTGAATGAAAGACCATCAGAGGAAAGCAAGAGTTCAGGGTGATGATGGTTTTTCATTTGCTGAGCTGCAGGGGCAGTTGATTTCGTGTAGAGGATTCAGTGGACACGTGGCCTTTGAACAACATGGGTTTGAACTGCACCGGTTCATTTATACTTGGAAATTTTTCAATAAGTACAGTGCAGTACTATAAATGTATTTTCTCTTCCTTATGACTTTCTTAACATTTTCTTTTCTCTAACTTTCTTTACTAGAAGAATATGGGTATATAATACCTCTAAGATTCAAAATATGTTAGCTGACTATTGATGGTATTGGTAAGGCTTATGGTCAACAGTAGGCTATCAGTAGTTAAGTTTTGGGGAGTCAAAAGTTATACATGGATTTTCAACTGTGTTTCGGGGCATTGGTGTGGTTCAGGGGTTAAATGTACATCTTTTCCTGTGGGGTCTGTAATCGATCCTTCTTTCCTATTAATGATTCTTCTGTTGGGGTCTGTAACTGACAGTTCTTCTTATAATTGACACCGAGTGGTATGACTTTTCCTTCTAGCCTCCTGACTTCAATTTAGTGAGATTTCCCTTTATTAATTACCACACTCATAATACCATCATACTGAGATTAGGGTTTTAACATGTGAAACTTGGGCGGACATAATTATTTAGTCTTCAGCCAATAGTATTGTTTTAAGTTTTTACTTAAAATATATTTATTAAATATACACTGTAGCAATAGTAACAGGGAACAAATAAGTATTTCAAGAGCTCAGTTTTACCTTCATCCTTACAAATCTATTTGGTGACCTTTAATTGTATTTGGTGGCTCAGCTACTAATCAGTCTTCATTTTCCTATGATCATTAACTAGTTCTCTGTGCTCGAAATTTTGCAAATTGTATATTGATAAAGAAATATTTCATGGTATAGTTAAGGCTTAAGGAAGAAACACTTCTGCATTAATTAAAAGGAAATGAGTATCTCCCAAAACATAAACTTGCTGAATATCATGTCACAAATCTAAAATTTTTGAAAATCTTTTTTCACATTATTCTTGGTAACACACATTTTTACTTCACATTATTTACCCACTCCCCGACTTAGTTTTTCCCTGCAAAACAAAACAAAACAAAGCAAAACAAAGCACCCAAGCAAACAGACAACGTGTGTACCTTCACGCTGTCAACTACGTTGTTCAGACATCTCTGCTCAAAATCCTTTGCCCCTCTCTCACAGGTCCACTGCAAATTCCCTTTCTGTGGTTTGAGAAACACTAATGCATTATTTATAACACTAACTTTGCTTTTACCCTGTGAACCGGGAAAATAATCATTTAAAATAGTTCATGTGTTATCTTTTGAGTAGTGTTCATTACCAAAGCAAGCAAAAATGTAAATAGAATAAACCCCATTACAGTGTTTTGCTTGAGAGTCATTTTAGCCTCAATCCTATTACATGGGAGCAGTTATCTGAGAGATTCATTACATTTTACAACCACTTATTCATTGCCTGACACTCTTTAGATATCAGGTTAGTCCTGGTAGGTAGAATAAAAAGAAAACCTACAAACTACCAGCTTGGGTCTCCCAGCACCCCACTGCAGGACTTTGAGCAATTACGGGAATGCTGTCTATCTGTGCTGATGTGGCAGCTACCAGCCGCACGTAGCTATGGAATGCTTGACTTGTAGCCAGTGCGTCTGTCGAGCTGAACTGTTACTTTAATTTTTCCTAATAACATCTCTATTGAGATATAATTCACATATCCTATAATCCGGCTATTTGAAGTGGACAGTTCGGTGATTTTTGGTGTATTCACAGAGTTGTTCCACCATTACCACAGTTGTGGAACCTTTTCATCACGCCCACAAGAAACCAAGTACTCAGTGGTAGTTACTCCCCAAATTCTCCCAATGTTCTCAGCCATGGGTGACCGCTAGGCTTTCTGTCTCTGTGGATTTGCCTATTTTGGACATTTCATACAAATGCAATCACAATACGTGGTCTTTTGTGAATGGCTAATTTAATTTTAGTTTAATTATATTCAATAGCCACATGTGCGTAGTGGCTACCATTAGAAGCAAGTGTAGTGGAAGACCCCATGCAGATCCTTAAGGAATGCTGAAGGCTAAGAAGAAAATCATGAAAAGGCGGCATGTGGAATACAGGTCAGAGAGATTGGAGATGAACCCAGTTGGAGCCTAGAAATAAGATAGATTCCTGAAGGAAGGGATGGTTAACAGTACCAAATAATACAGCGGGGTCAAGAAGGTATAGTGTCAGTGTAGTGATGGGGTAAGAATCCTGATGACAAAGGGCATCAGAATATGGTATTGGTGAAGAAGTATAGGCAGGTAGAAATTTTGTATCTTTTAGAGATGGAGAGAAGGAAGAAAGTTTCAAGATAGTTTGAGAAGCATGTCAGGACTGATGGAAATTTTGTTTTCCTGCTGTTAATATTTTTAGTGTAGGCCTGAGCCTAATTGTAGGCAGAGAAAAAGGACTCAGTGGGAATGAAGAGATTAAAGATGACAGCAGGGTTCTGAAGGATGTGAGTGAAGGTGGGACCAGGGTTAGCGTAGGAGCAAGCCCTGGCAAGGAAGATAGAGGTTATCTTTCTCAGAGGCAGCAGTAAGTGTAAGAAAAACTAGGTGAAAATATAGAACAATTTTTATGTAAAAAGGAAGGAAACTAAAGAAACTCATTTACTTAAGGAAAAATGGGGACGAGGCCTTCTGAGGGTAAAGGTTGGTTCCTCCAGCCAGCACCGTGATCAAATGTGGAGAAGGGAGTTCTCCAGAGTGTCTAGGGCTCTGGGAGGTGGGAGTATCAATTATTTATATTCTTTTTGCTGCTCTAAGGAATATGTCTCCTAGAAGCGACAAACATTTTCAGGTACATAAAACCACATGAGGTACACAGATCCACATGTGCCAATTTTCACTTACAGAAGAGTGATGATGTCCAAGAGTTTACATTTGAGATCTTCAAAGATGAAATCTCTCAGCTTATGTACCTCCTTCCCTCCCTCCTTCCTTCCTTCCTTCCTTTCTTCCCTCCATTCTTCTTACACTTCGTTGAAAGCTATGTACCCTCTTGCTCTTTGCCCTCCAAGGAAAAATGGAAACAAACAAAGCACAAAACTTTGGAATAGCCAAACAATCCATACAGTAATGAATATAGAATTTTGTGTTATGTATTACAACAAAACTATTTTAGTTTAGTTTAGAATTTTCTTTATTTTTCTAAGTTCCCTACCCCCACCCATATTACAACAGTTAGTGGAAGAGCTGGAGAGTGCTTTGAAAATGCCACATAAAAATAACTATGCATATATAAAAGCAAAATATACTCATTAATTGATATGGTTTTTATTAATGTTGATTTAGAGCATTCTTTCTGTGTAGATGTTTTAGAAATGGAAGCTAACTTCTGTGGTATTTTCAATATATAAAATTATATATTTATGTATTCATTTATTTATTTTAGGCTTTTAAAACCAAGGATGGATATCTTGTGGTTGGAGCTGGAAACAACCAGCAGTTTGCTACTGTGTGCAAGGTAATCAGTAATCAGTGGGATGGGCCAATGATCTATGCAATGACCTGTTTTGTCCAGAACCAGGAAAGTTCAGTTTCACCTAGAACACTGTCCTTCGGTCTATAGCTAGCTCGAGACCCCTACTTTCTCCCCTACCCTGTGCCATTTTTATACTCCAAATGCTAAGGATGTGGTCTGAATTAGCATACTGACTGTATTTTTTTTTTTTTTTGAGGTATCTGGCTGTATTTTGAAATGAACCATAGTGTATAATACCAACATGACCTTGACTCTTAGTCCAATGAGGAAAGGGAAAGAAAAAGAATTCATTTTAAAGGCATTTTTAACATCAGGATATTTTTTCTTTTTGCTTTCCCCTTTTTTTTTCTTTTCTTTGTTAACAATGTGAGACCTAATTAAGCCCAAATACAATGTAATACCAAATTATTGTTTTAGCCACTAGAAAACTAAACATTTTTTTTTCAAATTAGCCTTTGTTTAATGAGTACCCTTCTGCAGAGTTCATGTTTTAAGTTTTAGCAGTTAAGATTGTATTAAAAATGTTGTTCCTCAACAAGATTTTTAAAAAAGGCCTTGGAGTCATTAAGGATAATTTTATGTTGAAGATTTTAAGTTTTTGGCATCGCTTCGATATTTTTTTATTTGATGTTTTTACTACTAACCTAGATTTTTTTAAAAATTTAAGTCTTTAGGTTCCTGTTCACTTTTTCCAGTTCTAACCCCAGAAATATAATCTAGCTTTAAAAATCTATATTTAAGTTTTCGTTTTAATTTCTCTTACAGGTAGGGAGAAGTCTTACCTGTTGAGGATGTTTTTCTGATGGGGAGTTTATTTTCTTGTACTAATTAATCATAGATAACCACTCACTGTGAGCTTTCAGGTTCATTAAAGATGCCTGTGAATTCCTTAGGGGAACCTTCTTTATTGTCATTAACTTCTTATGTACAAAAATTATTTATCACTGTGGCTCTTTTGTGCGAGAGGTTAATGAGCACAGCGGAAAACCACAGCAAAGGGGTGGGAAGTACCGCGGAGAAGGTGACAAATGGAGACAGTTCCTATTGCAGGAAGGGCTGGAACATCTGAGGTGGGAAAGAGGGGAGCTTTCATAACGGTGACTCTGAGTAAGTGGAGAGAAAATGGATTCAAACATTTGATCTAGGATCAAAGAATCTTTATTATGAACGGTCAATGTTAAAAATATGAAACATACGGAAGCCGTTGCCTGTGAAGTCATTTGCGTACTCTAGCTGCAAAGATGTAAAAGCCAGTTCATTGCTATAAATGAGTACAGATTTTCTTCCTGGGCCATATGTTTTGGAGTTTTCTCTCTCCAGAAAGGGGGGTGGGGGGGGGGAGAAATTACTGGTTGTCATATTCTTCACTGTTGAAAATAACTGTACTGAATTCTTTTTATTTTTGATTCATTACTGCTGATCAGTTTGAAACTTTTGAACTTCCTCATAAATATCCATAAGAACGTTTTTTGAAAAAGATTTTTGTTTCAAAGCGGAATATTTGCCATAAGTTTGAGTACTAAAATATGACTTATTGTGATGGTGTGTTATGATACATTTGTTTAAAAGGAGACCATCAGAGGGCCTTTGAGAATGGCATACTTGACCTTGCTTTTCCATATGTGAGTTATGAATGATAATCCCTGTTATGAGCCCTTAAGACAATGTCTATCAGATTCTTTGAGATACTCAAGAAAAGTTTTATGAGTAGAGGATTTTAATGTTATTTCCATCACTTCCTAGGCATCTTGAGCAAACCTTGCAAACTGATTGACTTTATATATCCTTACATGTAAACTTGCCCTAAAAACCTTTTAACCTAAGAAAAATGGCCTGTTTCCTTTTTCCATATATAGTGGGTTTCTCCTAAGTATTTTTTATTCAGATTTATCTATTACTGAGGGGCTTGCCATTCAAACTGGCCTTGTAGAAGATGAGGTCCCCAGTTTTTTATAGTAAGCCTCTCAATGGTTCTTTTGCCAAGTAAATAGTGAAAGATAGGGCAGCTCTATCTCCTAGGGAGAAATATAGCAGTATTGTCTGTGATGAATGCGTAGAATTTACTTAGGTCTATTCTCTTTCCAAAATGGAATTTGAAATACTGGCTGACTAAAGCTTCTTGGGGATGGGTCCTTTTAAGGAGCTCTTATTATCAGGAATTAGAGTGAGAACAAGAGCAGTGGGTTCAAGACTTGGCGTTCAGAAAATCTTTCTGCATATAAAGTGAACCTTGGCTTAGAACAAATCCTATTTTATGTCTCTTAACATGATACAGAAGAGTAGGGAACATGAGCATATGTAAGCTATTTTAAGCTGATTGATGCCAATACTAATGGGTATTCCTATTTGAAGTACATGGACATCCTTTTAAAAGTCATTTAGACTGAAAGTTTCTTGTATTGCGGGGAATGTGCGTTGGTCCTCAACTTTAGCATGCAGAGGGAATCTCCTTGAGCTTCATTCCCCAAAATTTTGACCTAGCATGTCTGAGGTGGGATATAGGAAACTCCAGTTCGAGTAAGCATTGTTGTTGATGCTGGAGTGGGTGGTCTGAGGATGTGATAGCAGACTTCTAAGGCATACCATGAGTCTTGACACTAGTCGGGTGACCTCTGGTGAGACACTTAATCTTGGCCAAGCATCTGTGTTCTCACAGTCAAATGAAGATTATGATATATAACTCTCCTAATATATAACTTTTGGAGTTTTGTAAGAGTTAGATTGGATAAGTAAAATACTCAGTCCAGTCCTGGCTCACAGAATGTGCTTTGTAAATGGCCTCTATAAAAATTAGGTTTGGAGATTCTGGTTCTGGATAAGATAGAGTAAGCACACTTCTTCCTGTCTCTTCCACTAAATATAATGATAAAACCTGGATAGAATGTATGGACCGACTCTAAGAGGATGCTGAAAAGTAAGTAGTGGTAGGTAAACCGGGGAAGAATGCCAGAATTTAAAGTACCTCTGAAAAAAAATAAAATACCTCTAGTGCTCCTGGGGGGCTTAGTCAGTTAAGCGTCTGTCTTCAGCTCAGGTCATGATCCCAGGGCCCCAGCATCAAGCCCCACATCAGGCTCCCTGCTCAGCGAGGAGTCTGCTTCTCCCTCTGCCTCTCCCTCTCCCTCTGTGCTCTCCCTTCCTCTCTCTCTCTCTCTCAAATAAATAAATAAAACCTTAAAAAACAAAAACAAACAAACAAAAAACCCTTCCAAACCAGAATTAAGTTTACCAGCTTTCTCTACAATGATTTCCTTACATGGATAAGTGGAGCCGAAAACATGGAAATGGGCACTAGGAAACAGAGCTGAGTCCTAGGAGATGCCCTTTGTTCCTGGAGTGAGGAGCACGAAAGTGAGCTCTAATAGCAGAGATAGTGTGGAAATCCTGCATCTACCCCTCAAAAGAGGGAGGAATCTTTGGCTTTTTCCTCTGTCCTCCCACCGCTTGGCCTCCACCCTGGAAGTATGCAGGGAAGTAGGCTAACTATAGGGGAGCCCCAGGGCACTGGAGGGAGCCTGCTGAGAGGGATGAGCTTTGGAAAGTGAGCTTTGAAGGTGTTTGTGAACTTCTGCTCTCAGCCCTAAGCTGCATGTACACTGATCTGATCTTAACCAGCCCACCAAAGAAGTTGTGAACCAAGTTAACACACAGAATACTGCTCAGGAGGCAGCCTGACCGTTAAGTGGGACACACGCAGGACGGACTCAAACAGCACCGCAGGGGCTTTGAGAACTGAACTAACACAAGAACCAAAGCACACAGAAGGCGGGTTGGGGCCTGTGGCCTGGACCTAACCAGATCAGTTGCTTGCTAAAAGCAATAACAATAAAATGTTGCTGTAGGATTTAAACAAGACCCAGAGGCCCATAATATAATATTTAAAACATCCAGGATACAATCCAAAATTACTCAGCATATGAAGAACCAGAGCTTGCATGAGAAAAGACAGTCAATAAATGCCAATGCCAAGAGGACACAGATGTTGGAATTAACTTACAAAGACTTTAAAACAGCTATTATAAAAATGCTCCAACAGGCATCACAGACACTGTTGAAATAAATGGGAAAGGAGAAATGTCCAGCAGAGAAAGAGAAGATAGGAAGAAGAACCAACTAGAAACTGGAGAACCAAACAATATGACCACCAAATAAAAAAACGAAACCCCTCACCGGATGAGCCCAATAACACAACAGAACTAAGCCAAGGAACTTAGAATAGGTAAATAGAAATTATTCAATCTGGAACAACAGAAAGAGAGAGAAAAAAAGATGGTCCCCTCCCCCAAGAAATGGAAGAAAGAAAGAACAGATCTTCAGGAGCCTTCAGGATAGTAACGAAAAATCTAACATTGATATCATTGTAATCCCAGGAGGAGAAGATGAAGAGTACATGCTGAGGAAATATTTGAAGACATAGTTGCTGAAAACTTCCCAAACTTGGTAAAAGATAAAAACCTACAGATTTCACAATTTCAGCAAACCCCAAATAAGATAAATCCAAGTAAATCCATGCCTAAACACACCCAAGTCTTCCCACTGAAAATGAAGGACCAAGGAAAAGGTTTTGAAAGCACCCGGAGGAAAGTAATAGGTTACCTTGTTGGGGGAACACGGCCTCAGCTGACTGCAGACTTTTTATCAGAAACTGGGAGCCCAGAGCCAACTGGCACCAAACGGTCCACCCAGAACCCTACGTCCAGTAGAAACGTTCATAGAAAATGAAGTTTCATTAAAGACATTCTCCCTCTCCTTCCCTTCCTCCCTCTTTCCTGTCCTTCTTCAACAAGCCCACACTTCATTATTTCTTTGGGGGGAAATAGTACCTCGTTGGACTACTTCACATGTATTTGCTGCTCAGTATGTCAGGCACTTTCGCTGACATTGCTTCATTCCGCCCAGGCGATGCTTCCTCAAGCCCGTAAGGGCTGGTTGTGATCACAGCACTGGAAGCAGTCGCTCTAGAAACACTGTGAAAGGCAGCATGGCTGAGGACCGAACCGTAATTACCTTGACCCACTGTTTCACACCAACGTGCTCAGAGAAAAGAGGTTTTAGGAGTCAAATTCAGAGAACAGCATCTGAGGGCCTGGTTACCACTCAGTACAATGACTGAGCAGGTTTTTATGCAGCTTACACTATTTCTGGGTGAGGCCAGATTTGCAGGTTTAACCTGTGATTTGGGGAAGGCACTTGCTTCTTCTGCAAATGACTTATTCACTCCTAGAGAGGGGAGGGCGGGTTTCCATTCCCGCACAAGCTTGGCGGCTGCTTCTGAAATCATGAAATCAGCTGTGGTGACACGGAGGTTTTTAGGAAAGGCGCTCTATGTGGTGTTGCTTTTTAAAATCTGGGGGAATGATGCTGTCTTTATTATTCCTCAAGGAAACGAGTAAGTGGAGCCCGCGAAAGAGAAATGACACAGTGGAGATGCTCTCTTTACTCCAGGGAAACTTCTTCACTTCTCTGTCCTTTGTGAGATGATTAATGGATTGATTGTATTTAAACTATGGGAAACAAATGAAACCATAAAATGTTTATATTTCAAGCAAATACATTACTCAAGGTAGTGAAGCTTTCTGTTGGCCCCATGGCCTGCCCCAAGCCCATAAATGCTCTTTCTGACTTTCCAACATGACTGCCAAACACTGCCTCCACACATTCTTTATAAAACTTCTTTTCCATTCCAAATCCACTTGGTACTTTCATTATGGTCTTGTTAAAATTGCAAGATGTCCAAAGGGACTTGCAAGATAGATTTTCCCTTTATTGAGGAGGAGCAAAAGAGGAAGTGTATAAAAGCATTTCTATTTGTTATTCCTTCAGGGAGATATAGTAAAGAAAAATAGTGACACTTCTATAGGAAGAATATCTTTTAATTTGACATTGTTTTAATGGCGAAAATTTGGGGCAAATGTATATGCTTTTCCTTTATTTTAGCACCTTGTACAACATCCCAGATAGGGCTTCTGGGACGAATAATGTTATTTTTTTTACGTGTGGAACAAATAAGTGGACATACCTACAAGATGTATGTTGATTATGGGCTTCATGGAAGTGCGGACCTGTAGTTATGATATTGGCTCTCAGAACTAGGTCAGTTCTATCAGGTTTTGTATCTCTGTACCTACTCTCTCTAGACAAGACTTATTGTGGGGATCTGATAACTTTTGATCTCTGCTCCCATCTGTAGGCACATACCTAAATGTAGCCAAAACTTCTCATAAATGACAAACTCAGTCACAGCATCACCTGCCCTGATTGCATGATCCTTCCATCTCTGTTCCTTTGTTGCTCCATTTGCCTTTGTCTGGAAGCGTAAAGGTCAGCAAGGAATGATCCCGGGGAGCATGTTGGTAAGCCTGGAACACTCACAGGCAGGTACGTGAAAAATTGTGAATTATGCATTAAAATTATTTTTCCTTTTTAGATCTTGAATTTGCCCGAACTGATTGATGACTCCAAGTATAAAACTAACCACCTTCGTGTACAGAATAGAAAAGAACTTATCAAAATACTGTCTGCACGGTAAGCTTGGATCTAGTCTTGGTACATTTAGGAATGAATGTGTCCTTAGCATTTGCCTGATTTGTGTCTGTGTGAGTATTTATATGTATGCTCTTTTTTGCCTTTTTTAGATTAACTTGTGATTCTCTTCCATTTCGCAGAATGGGTTAGTGGAAAGATATTTCAAAGCTATGTTTTCTGTTCTTTATTTGAAAGTACTTTACGTGTCTTAATGAGTACTGACTCATAAGAATGATATCGATAAGAAAATCACAATGGCTTGAAATAGATCTCTATAGCATGTGTAAGTGTTTGGGTTTAGTCTATCGTAAATACTAATAACAACAACACTAATAAAAATAATTTAACATTTTTTTTAACCTTTAAATGCTCTACATAGACCATCCCATTTAACCCTTATAGTTATCCTGTGAGGTAAATTCTATTCCCATTTTACAGATGAAGAAACTGAGACAAAGAAAGGTTAAGTCGAAAGTTCTCTTGGGAAGTCTGTCATGATGATGTTTTGAAAATGCCAGATTGAGTTATGGGTCACAAGGGATTAATGCTAATCGGAGAGAGTATTTGATTTCCAGATTATTCCATACATGACATGTTATGCTTTTGTTAAAACCTGTATCAAATCTTTCAACTTTCTCTCAGAAAAAGGTGCTAATTCTTTTCTTTAATATTATTTTATTTTATTTCATTTATTTTTGTTTCAGTCTTCCAAAATTCATTGTGATTTTTAATATGTCCTTTTTTTTCATTTTATTTTACTTCTTTTCAGTGTTCTAGAATTCATTGTCTATGCACCACACCCAGTGCTCCATGTAATACGTGCCCTCTTTAATACCCACCACCAGGCTCACCCATCCCCCACCTCCCTCCCCTCCAAAACCCTCAGTTTGTTTCTCAGAGTCCACAGTCTTTCATGGCTTGTCTCCCCCTCTGATTTCCCCCAACTCACTTCTCCTCTCTATCTCCCAATGTCCTCTGTGTTATTCCTTATGTTCCACAAGTAAGTGAAATCATGTGATAATTGACTTTCTCTGCTTGACTTATTTCATTCAGCATAATCTCCTCCATTCCCGTCCATGTTGATACGAAAGTTGGATATTCATCCTTTCTGATGGAGGCATAATACTCCGTTGTATATAGGGACCATATCTTCTTTATCCATTCGTCCGTTGAAGGGCATCTTGGTTCTTTCCACAGTTTGGTGACTGTGGCCATTGCCACATTGTGAACATTGGGGTACAGATGGCCCTTTTTTTCACTACATCAGTATCTTTGGGGTAAATACCCAGTAGTGCAATTGCAGGGTCACAGGGAAGCTCTATTTTTAATTTCTTAAGGAATCTCCACACTGTTCTCCAAAGTGGCTGCACCAACTTGCATTCTCAC